CATAAAACTAAATTGCATAATTTAAACCATAATATTATGCATTTAATTTAATTATATGCATAAAACAAACTCAAAATATGAATATAAAATCAAATATTCATACTCAATCAAAGTGGGCTTCACAATCCAAAAATCCAAAAATAATAATAATGATAACAATGTTACGACATATCGATTCCTCAGTTCAAAACTGATAATCGTTATTACTATAATTATTACATAACGGTAATAACAGAATAATCAATTTTCTTAATCGTAACCGAACAACATTTAGTATTAATAATAATAATTATTATTAAATGTCACATTATATCATCATTATTACCATAAATGTTTTGGATAAGCAAATTCATTAAGAATCTCAAAATATAATTCTTAACATCATTATTGAAATTATCATGACAAAACTGAAAAGGAAAACAATATCCAATTGCCATAAACATATGCATTTTTCAAAATTGTGATTCAAAATCACACTCCATAATTAAAAATATTACTATTGAATTATGGCAAAGTTGCAAAATTCTAGAATTGCAATGAATAACCATAATAATCATATAATATTATAACAATTAGGAGATTTAATATGGAAAAACAATTGCTAATCACCACAAACCTTTAAAATATTTTTCGGGAAAACTTTAAAACTTAATAAAATTAAAATCCGAAAACATTAATGTTGAAAAAATAATATCCAACATTTTCAACTTTAATAAACTGATATAACGGCATAAAAAGTGGTTCTTGACTAAAACTTTATGACCTTACTAATTACCATAATAATGACTGTAAATGCAAACGATTGCAACAAACGCCAAACATCTCAATATATCATCTAATCATGGCAATTAGTCACAAAGTATAGCAATTCATCTTTATTACAAATAATATATCAATACATGATTACAACATATTAGCATTATGCTAATAGTTGTGGATCCCTACTTTATTGACCCAAGATAGGTCCCAAATCTTGTTCAAAATAGGTTTAAAAGTCCCAAAGTGAATATAGGACTAAAATATGCTCAAAATTGAATGAGAAACCAAACAAGGTGTCTTAATAGGCTATAATATCCAAAATTAGCCTGAGGATCCAAAAAAGAATAAAATCGAATATAAAAATTATGAATTAATAATATGCTATATCCAATCTTAATATGCTTTTCTAAATGTACAATTATAACAAAATAATTTATGAATATACAAAGCATGCTTGGATTTTGCAATATTAACTCATAAATCATAAATAAATTGCAAACACTTCAGCAATTTAATATGATTCTCAATATTAAATTAAAATTCAAATAGCAAATTTAAAACTTAATATTTGTCCATAATTAAATAATAATTTAATTATGAATTTTAATGCCAAAATTAAGAGGAAATTAAAGGCCATTAAAATTCCAAAAATTAGCAATTACTATATATTTACCATTTGCCAAAATAATATACATGCAATATTAAATTAAATATGGTAATATTAATCCTGATATAATTACCATACTAAAATTAATATGCAATTATTAAATAAGCAAATAAATATATGGTAAATAAAAGGTAAATTGCACTGTAAAATAGGAGAGGTACCAGTCAAACCATCCGTCTTCTTCAATTCCTTAAGCAGCCAATGGAACAAACTCAGCGCCGCCCGGAGCTTGTGGAGCAGCGTTCAGAGCCATCCATCCAGCCGTCCGTCTTCTGCCAACGCATCGCCGGAAAACCAGCGCCACTGCCGACGGAGAAGCAGGCCGCCGTCGTCTTCATCGCGATGCCACCGTCGCCTGATCTCGACAGTAGCCGACCGCTACCCCATGGTGGTGTCCTCCCAGTGACAAGGCTCAAGGCGGAGAACCAAGGCCACAGCCCCACCGTCAGCAGCACCCCTCGTCGGATTCGTCACCACCGTGCCTCGCTCCAACGCCAAAAACGCCTGCCGCCGGCGACCCCAAGACGCGACGCCAACAACAACGCCCGCCGTTGCCCACGTAAAGCTCGCCGTCGTTCTTTAGAGAAAACGACGCAAATCAACCAGAGGGAATCCTTCGTCCCTCAGTCGAGACACGCCTCAACGTTCACCGTCCGCGACTCAATTCTCGGAAAAGGAAACGCAAAAACCGGTCAAAAACCGTAATGGTAAGTTGCAAATATTACAACAGATTATTTCAACAGATCAGGTTTATTATTTATGCAATTTGATTGTATATTTAATGTTTTTTAAAAGGTTCCTGCATAATTTTCATGTACAAATATCCACATATATATAAAGTTGAATCATGGAGACATGTATGCCCAGAACAATCATATTCAAATTGCATACACATTCAAACTAATCCAATATGTACGGCAGTCGTGATCCAACGATGTCCTCTAACGGTGCCACTTGGACGGCAGTTGTGATCCAACGATAACATATAATGACAGTACATAAAACAATGAAGCAAAATTCCCACAAAGGTAATAGCATTTTATATATTTTCCAAAATAATATATACATCAAATATTACCTTCTCAAACAAAATGTCATGTTATCAACCTAACTTGCATACAATTACAGGAATATATACATATGTACTTCTGCATCATAAATATATCATTCCAACTGATATTCATACTGCAAACATATTCTCGGGGGAAAAAAAGAAACAGCAGTAAAACATATATATTGCATAATATATAATTCAAATATATATCATATGCAAATTTATCAACTAGGCAGAGATTAAACAGGCTCTGATACCAAATGTTAGAGTATACACACAATTCGAACACATGTGATAACCTAACCTCATAGCGGAAGCATAATGATCTAGCAAAACTGCAGCCATAGTTGATACTTTGTTGCATTGCATTGTTGCTTCAAGAACTCCAATAGATTAAAGTTTTGTTGTCTACCATTAATCTCCTGTATGAACTAGATGGTGTAGTTGTAAAGCTGCAATGGGAGGACCATGCTTAAATAGCCTACATGCCATCATTATAGGCTAAGTAACGGAAACCGTTACTTCATTTTCAAACCACAACATAATGGCCATAATTGGCCTATTAAACTTGCACCACTTAATAGTGTAATTATAATGAAAATGTTACAAACCAATGATCCATTCTTAAGTGCCTGAAATAAACGGCAATTTATATCCTACACCACGGCGCGCGTTGCACTATGCGCCCAGATGCAAAACGACGTCGTTTTAATTATTATTTTTTTTTGAAATTTCTCTCCCCAGTGAATGACAGTAGTTTTTTCTTAAAAAAAAACTCGTTGTTCAAGAATGTACATAATGTTATACTAGAATACACATAATGTTATACATGAATGTACATAATTATATAACAAAATATACATACTCTTTTTAAAAGATAATACACATAATCTAACATAATACATAATAAACATAAACTTTTAACATAATACACATCAACTATTAACATAATACACACAAATTTTCTGATTCGAATGTACATAATTGTATAAAAAGAATGTACATAATTGTATAAAAAATACACATAACTGTATGAACCAATACACATAACGTTGTGAACAAATACACATAACGTTGTGAACAAATACACATAATCTCAGCAACTTCCTACTGCGCCTCCCAACACTACCCCAAAACGACGTCGTTTTGGGAGGCGTGCGGCGCACAGTGCTATGTGCGCCATGGTGTAGGATATAACGATTGGAAATAAACACAGTACCATTAAATTTGAATCTGGACCACAAAAGACACTAGTACAAAAAATATCAATAAAATTTAATAATTCGCGTCCAAAGTTTGAACTTTGAACGCCGAATGTGTAGCGCAGTGGCAATTTTGTAATTAAATTGCCACTCTATTCTTTTTTTTTTTTTTTTTAAATTAGTCGCGTCCAAAATTGCACACTTTGGACGCGAATAATTAAATGCTGGCAAAATTCGCGTCCAAAGTTTCGAACTTTGGACGCGAATAATAAAACGCCTCTTTAATTCGCGTCCAAAGTTGAGAAGTTTGGACGCGAAAAATCATTATAATTCCCTCCCTCCCCCAAAATCGATCAGTTCTTCATACTCCAACCCTAACCCGCAGCTCAGCCGCCCAATCCGTTCTCCATCTCCATCTCCCACTCCGTTCAATAAAACCACTCTTTGTCTCTCTCTCTCTCTCTCTCTCTCTCGATGTATACAGGGCCGCCTGCATGAATTGTATGTGTTTTGTTTGATTGATAGATTTGTAGTGGATTACGCCGCCGTATGTGTTTACGCAAGAATGGCGAAGCCTCGAAAGGGAAAGAGCGAAGAGCAAAAGGGAGAGAACACCGAAGCTGTAATTCACCATCAGAAGCTCTGCCTTTCAATCGACATGGAGAAGCGTCGAATTTACGGGTCTGTATGTTTTGTTTTTGTTTTTATCCTTTTTTTTCTTTCGATTAATTTCTCTAGAAAGGTCGGGGAGGTTTAGTTTACTTTTGTTCCCATTTCGGCTAATTCGACTTCAGAAGGGTTTAAATCTCTGCTTAAATCACTTTGGAATGTATAATTCGGCAGGTTCTGTTTCTTTGTTTGATTGAATTAGAGAAGAATAACTGTAGTCTAGACTCACAGCAATATAATTTGATGGTGGTTTATATTTTTCTGTATCCCAATTGAAGTATTACCGAACTTGTATAGTTGTATATCACACTGCAGGGATAGAATTGAAAGATGAACAAACTATTTTAGTTGCTCTGTGAACATTACAGTGCTTCCAGATGTAGAACATTTCTACATATCTCAAAATTAAAAAGCTAATTTCAGGATACATTCTTTTAGTTTTAGATAAATCTTGCCAAATATAATGTTGGCATCAGTAGTCAGTACATGCTACCTGTGGCTGTGAATGTTTCTAAAGCTTGCCAGATTGATTAGACAAAATTGGTGATAGTTAGATCTGGCTAAATCTGGTAAAATCTCATGTTTATAGTGGATTAATTCTCTGTCCCTCATGAGGGAGGGCAGCAGCAGTTGGTTGCCTCACTGGATATCCTATTCATTTTAAGCTTTACTCTGGTGACTTATCAATATCATCATGTAACAACCTTCACTTCTTACTTATTAAATGTTTGCTTATATTTTCTTTGAAATAGGATGGGAAGGGATATTGCATATGATTGCTGGTCTTGTGACTTGCTATGTGCTGCATCATCGCCAGATTTGTACAGAATAAATTTAGAGCAAGTATATATATATATATATATATATATATATATATATATATATATATATATATATATATATATATATATATTTTATTTCCTTTCTCGTTGATATCTTTGTATCTTTCATCATGTCTTGAATTCACAAAACATTATTTTTTTTGGTGGTCTTTTATTCATATTTTTGTATATATTATGTATATATAATGTCAATATTTGGCTCGTTTAGTCTATGGTGATTCAATATGTTTTAGTATATTAATAGCTTTTGGGTTTATCACCTTGCTTATTTCATCTTCAGGTTTTAAAATTTTATATATATATTTTTTGCAGGGACGCTTCCTTACCTCTTTAAGCACACAGTCCCCAGCACTAAATGTTGTTTCTCGAAGGTTATTTGTCTTCCTCTAAAAATGGTCATTTTTAAATAAATCATTCAAATTCTGATATTTTTCCATCAATATGCTTGGTTTTTCAGTAAGATCCATGGGCTAATTGCTTGTGGAGGTGATGATGGTGCTGTAGAATGCTTTGACTTGAGAGCAAGATCTTCAGTTGGCAGGATAAATGCTGCTGCAGCTGCTGGTGATCTTGACCAGGTTGTTTCCCATACCAATAACATAAAAATGCTACTATTACTTTTTATTTATCCAATATAAAGCAGTCAGAACTCAGAAGGGAAGCAAGTGGTATTTTTTTTTTTTATAATAATAATAATAATAATAATAATAATAATAATAATAATAATAACTAAAGGGTTGTAAAATACCATTATGCATAAACTGCAGGAGGTCACTGCAATAGAGTTTGATGGGGATGGAGGTTACCTCATGGCAGCTGGAAGTAGTGATGGAAAGGTAAGCTAAATGAACTATAAGGAAGTTGTGATGCACTTAAAAGAGTATTTGATTTTCCATTCCATACTTCGCATATGCATGATTTCTAATGCCTGAGTAATGAGAAGCTGTAATTCATTATAATAGAAGAGATCTTTTCTTAGCTTCTTGGTCCAAATAGAATTTTCCTTGAGCAGTGGGGTGCAAGATATGCTGTACTTCATCTTCTTTGGAGTCAAATAGTAGTTTGAGCCTGGTTCTCTCTTCATTTTGTTACTCCGTATATGAGGCTTTAGAAATATTTCTTCTAGATGTATTTTTGTTCTTTCAGGAACTGCCCCGATCTGTAGCAACATGTCCTTTTGGTTTTGTATGTTCTTATCTTCTGGTTATTGTATATGTAGTTTCATTTGGTTTCTTCTGGACTGTCTATCAAAGTGTGTTTATACCAGTTGACACCTAATAATTCACCTTTGGGATGCTTGATTTATCTATGACTTTATTCTTTATGCTGGTCCATAAGTTTTAGCACTTCTTACCAAGTGACACACTATTTCTTGGAGTGCAGGTTTTGATTTATGACCTGCGTTCTTCACATCCAATGTGTGTAAAGGATCACATGTAGGTTGCTCATCAAGCTTATAATGTGTTTCACAACTTGTGCTGATTTATTTATTACTTATGGTTCTGTGCATAATTTGTAGGTATGGGAGCCCAATACTTAATATTAAGTGGCACAAGACACTTAACACCGAGCAACCAAAGTTAATAACTGCTAACAACCACATTGTTAGGGTCTGGGACCCCAATACAGTAAGAAAATTTGTCATTTTTCTCTATTCTTTTTCGTTTTAGCTTCTTGTAGGTTTTGATGCCCTGAACTTTTGAGTGTTCTCTTAATTTGCATTATTTTGCTGATTTCTGAAGCTATGGGCTCCAGAAATTCTGATGAATATTTACTTTTGTTATTGACTCCTAGTGTATGAGAATTAGCTTTTGTGACACTGAAATTGATGTTTGAAAGCAATATTATGTTAAGACTGGCTTTAGTTGGTTTATTGGAGTGTAGTTAGCTTTTATCACAAATTATTTGGTGAGCATACATGTAATCATATTACAGTACAATACAATGATGTTCAAATCAAATTGTAGTCTTGACAATGATGGTGATGGCCAGAACCCATGATTTAATATGAGTGAGCATTTAGCTCATACGCCTTCCCTAACTTTTACCATTATGGAAATAGTGTTATGTTAAGATGTGAAGTAGAAAAATAGCGTTGGAAAAAGGTGGAAATTGATTAGACAAAATTGGTGATAGTTAGATCTGGCTAAATCTGGTAAAATCTCATGTTTTTTAAATTTGTTTATTCTATGTTTTTCCCATACTGGTTTTTCTATTTGTTTCGTTTGCACTTTAGATGGTATATTCTGATTATTCTCTTAATGTTTGATATCATTTTCTACCTTCTATATCTTCAGAAGCTGCAAAGGCAGAGGAATTTCCTTTAACTTCTTTGCTTTATGGCCATCATAGAAATAAAGTTATGTCTTAATTTATGATTGAAAATCAAATTTTCATTAATTTTTTGTTAACATTTAGAATTTGTAGTTTATTTGTAGTAAAATGTTATTAGAATTGAAATTTTAGATTGGTGTGTTTTAGTTGATAGAATTGGTGTATAGTATACATCTTAAATTGATTAATGTATTGATTAATGTTGAAATATATTATTTGGAGAATTGGTGTATAGTATACATCTTAAATTGATTAATGTTGAGATATATTATTTGGTAGTTATGCTGGGATGTACAGGAAAATATTGGTAGATTTATAAAAAAATGTTTATTTTTTAAATTTTTTTTACTATACGCGTCCAAAGTTAAGAAACTTTGGACGCGTATAGTATTTTTTAAAAAAATAAATAAACACTATACGCGTCCAAAGTTCACGAACTTTGGACGCGAATTATCATTTTTCGCGTCCAAAGTTCTTCAACTTTGGACGCGAATAATCATTTTGCGCGTCCAAAGCTACTTTGGACGCTGATTGTTTATACAACCAGCGTCCTCGCCATCTGCGTCCCAGCTACTTTGGACGCGAATTAGCCTTAACTTTGGACGCGAATGACTGTTTCTGTACTAGTGAGACAAATACAAGATGCCATGCAAGGGGAAAGAAACTCATTTATAAACTCATTTATATAACTGTACAAGCTACCATAGCACGTAGCACCCGCAATGCATACCTCCTAGTCCAGGCCTAAGCTAGAGGAATGTAAAGGTTTATCTTTCCACAGTCCATCACCAAATTATACTCCATAATTACTGTCTTAATTTATGGAATTGAACCAACAGAACGCTATAGACGTAATGATAAATCAGATTGAATATCAATATACATATTTAGTACAGCGATTAACCCCATCCAAGCTTGAAATGAGCAAAAACACAATTTCTGCAAAATAGATCCTCTTAAAATAGATTAAATAATGGAAAGACGAATAACCTGATAGAGATGAGTTTACAGTGGGAAAACAAAACCTGAACCGCGGCAAGAAGGAAAGCTTGGTGAGTTCATGAGAAGCAGAGAGAGTGTAGAGTGTAGACCAAAGATTTAGGTGCCGGTATGCGAAAAGATGAGAAGAGCGAGAAAGGGCAGAGAGGAGCGGAGAACCGAAGCCGTAGCACCACCGTCCTCGTCGGAGTCGTCGCCCATGAACCAGTCGCCACCATCAACACCATCAGTAGCCACCCCACGGTGTTGCAATCGGTATAGTTTGTATGCGGTGGAGCTGGAGGAGCGACGATGAGGATTTGGTTATTTGAGGGGGGGGGGGGGGTTGGGTTATTTGGATTTTCAGATTAGGTCGAAGCTAAGGGAAAAAAAAATTGATCAGGTATTCGAAAATAATTGAGAGGGAATTTATATTTTGAAAGGAAAAGAGATTATTTTTTATAGATACGAGAGACTTTTTTTTTTGGGGGAGGGAAGGAGATTTTTACAAAGTGTGATAGTCTTGAAAGTCAAATTTTAAAGAAGAGTGAATTTTATTTTTGATCTTAGATTTATAGGTAACAGTCTATTTGTAATCCTTTTTTATCAAAATATTTAATTTTGGTCCTAGTATTATTTCGACATGATTAATTTTGGTCCTCTATCAATAAAATCGTTGAAATTAAATTAAATTGAATGTCATTTTGATATTTTTAATACAAAGTGCGTTGACCAATTATATTTTTTATGTTTATTTTTATGAAAAAAAAAATCATAATTGAAGAGCGAAATGTCATGTATTTAACGAAATTTAAACAATTTTTTTTATAAAAGACCAAAATTGGTTATGTCACAATAATATTATGATCAAAAAGGAATATTTTGATAAAAAAAAAAAAATTAAAAGTGAACTGTCACCTATATTGGGACCGGATCCATCATAACTCAGGTATATAGGTACAGAACGGGAGCTAATAAAATAATAGTTTTATTACCTGGGGCACTAGACCCAAAATAGTAACAGGTATATAGGTACAGAACAGAGGTAAGAAAATAGTAACTTTATTATCCGGGGCCAATCGTTATGATAGCGCTACTAATAGGAATCGAACCCCAAGTGACTAGGTTGAGGCCGGGTATAGACTAGAGACCACTAGACTAGGGTGCCTGTAGGCCGGGTATATTCATGGTTTTATAGGGACCGGGTCCACCATAAACCGGGCGATATAGATATAGAACAGGGTAAGAAAATATTAGCTTTATTATCCGGATCGCTAGACCCAAAATAGTACCGGGTATATAGGTACAAAACGCGAGATTCATAGATTTTTATACTGTAGATTCATAAATTCTATACTGTATATTTATAAAATCTTTACTCTAGATTCATAATTTCTAAATCGTAGATTCATAATTTAAATACAGTAGATTCAAAATTTGAACATAGAGTTCTGTAATTGTGAATACAGAGTTCAATCATTATGAATATGAATTCCAAAAATTATGAATATATAGTTCGGTAATTATGAACATAGAACAGTGTGCACCATGCATGGTGCACACGATTGCACAACATAATTTGCCCTTTATTACAAAGATCGCGGCAAAAGAAATGGGCTATAGCTAACTGTACGACATTAACTACTCTTTCATGAATTGAAAATAAAACTTTAATGAATTGACATTGAAATTTTGGTGAATAATTTTATATTTAAATATGAACGAAAATAGAACTATTAAATTAACTTTTGAATTGTATTATTTCTTTGTTAAATTTTTATGCATTATATTTGGACAAAAAAATTTAATTACATTTTTATTTTTGTTATAGATTTTCTAAACATCTATTTTCATCTCGTAACAAAAATAATGAATGTCCAAATTATAGGTAAAAGATAAGGTGTAACACTTTAATAAACAAGAGTTGGTGTGGTTTGGTGGGTTTAGCTTTGTTTGTTATGTTAGAGGTCTTGGGTTCTATCTTTAATCTATATTTTATACAATCATTGTCTTGGTTTTCAGAGGCAACACATAACCAAACTCGTTATATCTTAGATGTTGCGCTTAAGTACATAAGTGTTGGTGTGGTTTGGTAGGTTTAGCTTAGTTTGTTATGTTAGATTATGTTAGAAGTTTTGGGTTCTATTTTTCCTAGAGGCATCCTTAACCTATTTTATAAAATCGTTGTCTTGGTTTGCACTTTGGTATATAAGGGTTTGTGTTGCTTAGTTGGTTAAACCTTATTTGTTATGTTTGAGGTCATAGGTTCAACTTTTGTTTTTAATATCCTTGATTTTATTTTATACAACTGTTGTCTTTTATAAAATAATGATGATGCGATAACCGTTGTCTTTGTAGTGTTGTGTATTCAAATACGCTTAAAAGACAACATACCAAAGACAACGGTTAAATAAAACTGTTGTCTTAAACAAATAAAGAACGCGCAACGACAACGGTTTTATAAAACCGTTGTCGTTGTAGTGTTGTGTATTCAAGTGCTATTAAAGACAACACATAAATGACAACGGTTAAATAAAACCGTTGTCTTTTATAAAATAATAATGCGCAAAGACAACGGTTTTAAAAAACCGTTGTCTTTATAGTGTTGTATATTCTAGTGCGCTTAAAGACAACACACCAACGACAACGGTTAAATAAAACCGTTGTCTTTTTTTTTAAAAAAAAAGAGCGCACAAAGACAACGGTTTTAAACAAGCGTTGTCTTTCTAGTGTTGTGTATTCTAGTGCGCTTAAAGACAACACACCAACAACAACGGTTAAAAAAACTGTTGTCTTTTTTAAAAAAACGCACATGACAACGGTTTTAAAAAACCGTTGTCGTTGTGGTGTTGTCTTTTCACAAAATGCACAAAGACAACACACTTATAACAATGGTTAAGTAAAAACCGTTGTCTTTGACAAAAGTGTGTCATCAAAGACAACGATTTTGGACCAAACTGTTGTCTTTCTAGTGTTGTCTATGTGCATTTTTCTTATAGTGAACCTAGATCTATATAGAAAATAGTAAAGGGGTGTTTGGTTGGATGGAAAACATTTTCCATGGAAAATGTTTTCCTAAAAGTGAAGGAAAATGATGTTTTATGTTGTTTGGTTGGATGGAAAACATTTTCCATTAGAAAAGGTTTTCCTTAAAGAATGAGGAAAACAAATTCCTAGCTCATCCTAGGTATTTTGTTTTCCATGAAAAACTAATATGACAATTTTACCCTCATCATTCTTCATTAATTATTATTATTATTATTATTATTATTATTGTTGTTGTTGTTGTTGTTGTTGTTGTTGTTGTTGTGTAGGGTTATATTTGTCATTATACTCATTATTCTTTACAATTCCAAACTCAACCAAACAATGGAATTCATATTTCCAGTAATTTTTTTTTCTACCAACCAAATAATAGAATCTATTTTCTTGAAATTTATTTTTCATAGAATTTCAATTCCATTTCCCTTCAAATATTTTCTAGCGCGGTAAAAGTTAACTTCATTTAGCTGAAAAAGAAGTACAATTCTCACCGATTTAAGTTTCATGTAAAAAATTGTCTGTTCAATTAATCCACACATATGCATTACCCACTATGTTTCCCTAGTTTGTGTTGGGTCTGGCATGGAAAACCATTAAACTTTAATAATAATTTTTATAAAATCTTATCAAATTAATCTCAGCCACATAACTCGGATGACGTCCACCGTCACCCATGGACAAACACGTGGTGGTTAACCATTAAAAACATATATGCATGTCAATGGGTAAATGATTTTCAATTCTTGTCTCTTGATTTAAAAAAAAAAAAAAAATTCTAAAAGTTCATATTTAATATAGTATTTCCAAATTCTAAGGACATCTCCGATCAACACTGTAAAATAGTAAAATGTCAAAATATTTGGCGCAACAGATCTCCAATGAGCTGATGATGATGGCGCTGCAGTGTTCATCTATACCAAATATGTTTTTAATGTACCCATTTTGCCGCTATTTTTATTTGTTAATTTCTTTTATAACTTTTATTTTG